AATTAAAATTTAGAAAATATTGGGAAGACTTGCCTATGTTATTTCCTTTAGCATGCGTGATGGACCCCCGATATAATTTATCGAGAACTAAATATATAATTGATAAAATTCAAACGCCATAACATTTGATACACCTATCACATATAGATATTTAGAGCAAACATTACGTGAAATGTATGAATTATATGTGAACCGAATGTGTACCAATATTAGTCGGGTACCATCTACACCTATTCCTTCCGCTGAAATTGAAGAAGAAGATGCGAAAATATTTAGAGCCTGTTTGGCTGTGTTTTTTGACCAAATTTTCAGCCAAAATAGAGCCGTTGGTCCAAGATGCAGGTCCCACCTCACACACAGGCAGTCAAAAATTGTGGGCTATAACGGTAGAAAAATTGCTGCCAACGGTAATATTTTTGCTTTTAATTTCTCCTAGACAGACCTTTAATTTATTTCAAGGCATTAATTCGTATAGATATGATTCATCTGCAATGTGTTCATCTACTGCCACTATCATGTCGTCTACATCTGTATCTCATTCTCATCAAACATCTATGGGCTCAAGCCATAATGCATTGCCTGCTGAATTAATTGATTATTTCAACCAGAATATGTCAACAGATAAAGCAATTAAAAAAAGTTCAGACGAAGTAATTGAATTCTGGCGAAAGTATGAACGACGTTGGCTAGTTATATCTGCGTTTGCAAAAGATCTGTTGACCCTCCGGTTAACACTGTTGTTTCGAAGTTTTCTTTTAGTGCAGGTAAAAGAGTTTTGAGCGAGGTCAGAAGTCGACTGAAAGAAGATATTTTAGAAGCGTTAATGTACGTTAAGGATTGGTAGGACGCTCATTTTCGACTACAAGATAAATATGTCGAAATTGCATATCGTCAAGTAAGTGATATTTGATTTAATTATATTGATGAAACTTTTCTTTTCTTATAGTTACTTTTAATTTTTTTTTAAAAATTGTACACGCTATAATAAATTGTTCGTGTACAAATTTTAACTCCGCTTACTGAAAAATTTAAGTAGCCGGTCCCAAACCCAGATAAAGGAGGAAGGTTTATATTTTATCTATTTTAAAAAGAAAAATAAAAAAAAATAAAGATTTCATTTTTATTTTTTTTACTCTTTTAGTTAAAAAAAAAAAAGAAAAAAAATTCTTTCCACAAATTTAGTTAAATTTTTGTTAGTGCTTAGTACTATTACTACTATATGTCTACATTTTAAATTCTTTTCTCGAACAACGCTGTACGTACATTTGCATATAATTTTCAAAGTAAATTCCTTCTGAAAATTGAAAGGGTAATCGAATGATTGCCCTTTCAATTGTCAAAAGTCTTTCACTTCGAAGATTATATATAATCTTCGAAGTGAAAGATTTCAATATAGTTTTCGAAGTGAAGATATCTGACAATTGAAAGGGTATTCGATTACCCTTTCAATTTTTGGAAGGGATTTATTTTGAATATTATATGCAAGAAGAAGCGTAGCGTTGCTTGAAAAAATAATTTTTAATATTGTTTTAAATTTTCTTTAAAAAATTGTACACAAACAAACAAATAAACAACACAATTTTTAACTCCGTCTACTCTAAATTTAAGTAGCCGGTCCCAAACCTGGATAAAGGAGGAGAGTTTAAATTTTTTTACCTAATTTTTTATATATAAAAATGTTTTATATAAAAAATTCACGATTTAAAAATTAAAATTACTTTTTTATTTCTCAATTTACCTATTTGTTTAAAAAAAAACCGACGTGTGCTCGCAAACCGAGCTCGCCTATTTTTGAACGAGTCGAGCTCGGCTTGTGGCGAGCCCGAGCCGAGCTCGTGCTTTCACGCTGGCTCGGCCCATAGACACCCCTAGTCATATGCCAATTTTTCTTCAATATGCAAAGGAAGAGATAAACCTTGGCATTTGAAGTGAAATATCACATCCATAACTGTTATAGCAATATCTGAACTTGTGCTACAATAGTGAACTAATACGTATATATTTTATATTTAGAAAGATTGTTG